CGCGCGCTTCCCCCGGGAGCTCAGGGTGAGCTCGCCGGAGCCCGCGGGGATAACGGGGCGAAGGGCAGCAGCACGAAGCCCTCGCCGGGGATGGGGTTTGCTGCCGGGGGGGAGGACAGCCCAGCCAGCGGAGCCGCGGCACGGGGATGTAGGTTGGACGGTAGCTCTGCCAGATTTCACTGCCGGGGACACGCACTGGAAGTGCAGACCTCACTTTAAGCGTCCCAGGGAAGCTCTGGTGGAGGGAACGGGTTTAGCCAGGACACGCCAGGGCACATGCCAAGCACGCAAAGGCGCCCGAGGAGCCCGGGGTCACCCTAGGTCCCAGCTTGGTCCTGCCCTGTTGGCACAGTGGGGGGAAACCCCTCACCGCACTGTTACAACTCTCCCTGGAAAAAAAAAAAACAAACCCAAAACTGGACCAGAAACTTCTACTGGGAAAGTTTGAGTCGGGACCAGAGCTTGGCCACATGGTCTCTGCTGCCACAACTTGCTGTCCCTCATCCCCCACCCCGCTGCGAGCTCTGTGACTGCACACAGGGACACCAAAAGCAGTGAGCCGCCCCGGGTGAATCCCCCATGGCATTGCCACGAGTCCCTCAGCAGCCAGCCATGGGCACCCGGCCACCTCCCCTGTGCAGAGGGGCACCCGGCTGCGCTTGCGGATGGGGCCACGGCATGACCCGGGTGCCGGACAATGACCTGGTTGTGCAGGGCTGCTGGCCAAGCCTTGTGCCGAAGCTCATGGGATGGGGAAAAGGGGAATTTTGCATCCCCCAAACCTCTGCCACCCAGCCCGGGTGGGTTTGGTGTCCCCGGCCACGGAGCTGTCGCACCTCCTGCCCACCCCGGCCGGCTGCGTGGCTGTGGGGGAATGGGCTCAGGCATCAGCCGGCTCTGAGAGTGGGAAATGTTTCAGAAGGAGGCAGAGAGGGGACTCAAATGTCATTTTGGATTCTCTGCAGAGGGGTCTTGCTAGGAAAATCCCATTGCAGTGCTGGCAGCGAGCCGGGAGGAGAACCGGCTCTGCTCACCGGCACGCGCGAAGAAATCTCTGCAGATCCCGTGGGCTCGGGGCATTAGCTCTCAGCCTCCTGGAAAACTTTTGGACGATTATTAATAAACAGCGCATCCGTCCAAGCGGTTCTCTGAGCACCCGCAGTCCCCCGCTGCAGGAGCAAAGCGGGAAGGACACAACCCAGTCCCCCCTGTCTCCTAACTGGGGTGTCTGGGGTTGGGTCTGGGCGGGAGCCCGAGCAGGGGGACCCCCGAGTTGCTGGTCCCCTCGATGGGCGGTGGGAGCTTTGCCTCTCCTGAGAGCATCTTCGCTGTTTGCCAACAGGTCAGAGCGGGCATCTCGCCTGCCCCTCTCCTCGCCCTGCCCGTGCTCCTCTCCCCTCTTAAATAAGGGAAAGGGCCTGCTGGTGCTGCACCCCACGGACACCCCAAACTCCCGGCGTCCGCGGGACCCCGTGGGATTCCCGCTCGGCGCTTTCCCGGGGTACCCCGGCTAAGGGTCGTACCCCCACACAACGCGAGAAAACCCACCTGCCTCTGTTCCCCATCTCAAGAGCATCTCCCCCGGGCTGGTTTCGGGCGCAGACGCGGGGCTGCCCATCTCAGCCGCACGGCCCCACGCCGTCGGGCGACGCTCCGCACCCCGCTCCCCGGGGCGGCTGGGTCCCATCCCACCCCCCTCCTCCC